CCGAACGGATGTCTTCTGTTAGTCATGCTGGCTGGAGGGGAGGGGGTGTCAGGTGGGAGAAGCCCAGTGGTGGGATTCAGCCAGTTCGCACCTATTCGGGAGAACCGGTTGGTAACTTTCTAAGTAGTTCAGAGAACCAATTGTTGGAAGAAATCTCCTTTTGTTTTTTTCCCACTTTACAGGGCTAATCCTGTAAGGAAGGCAGGAAGGAAATATTCTGGTTGTTTCTAGCCTAATCTTTATTGCCCTGCTTACAGAAACTGCCTCTCCGGTTAACCCTCATTATATTGTAACAGCTAAGGCGAAGCGCCCATCAACCTAAGTGACCTTGTGTTGGCCACGCCCAACCAGTCACATGACCACCGAGCCCCACCTACCCAGATGGTGATTAGGGCAGAGAACCGGTTGTTAAATTATTTGAATCCCACCACTGGAGAAGCCATTAAAAAAATCTGTTTCTTTTCTACAGGGAACCTTTTACATACCTTTGAACCTTTGTTCCCTGAGCGGCTTTGGTTGGACGAGAGAACCTTCTGCCATGCTTTTCCTTTCCACCTCGTGTTCGATGAAACAGTAAGGAAACTTTGGGATGGATTCTTGGACTTAACCATTCAGCTAGAGGTGGGGCTGGTATGGGCATACTGAGTCATTTCTATTGGACCAACACTTGTTGCAACAGTACATAAATAATTAAAATTAGGTAGGGCAGTCATGCAGGTGAGGATTAGATTTGCAAAAAAAAAAAAAACGGTTTTACTGTGATATGAAAAACATATTTCAAGTGGCTCCAATTTAATTTTGACATAAAGTTTTGCTACCTGTTGTTTCGGAAAAGGGCTTAAAAACTCATTTTTAGTTATTGAAGCTACCTTTGGGTTCTCTCCTCAGCTGAAAATCAAACAGGCCGGTGTAAACATTCAGAAATTTGTACCCGGATTGCAAATAAATGGAACCAGATTAGATGAATATTTTTCTATTATTCATCCCCAAGTCACGTTCGCTATTTCCAGCATGAAAAAGTTTATCAACAGCCAGTTTGTCCTCAAGATACGGAGAGAAATTATGCCCAGTTCATTGAAGAAACGGCCTACGCTGAAGCTCAGAGGTACAAATTTTCTGTGAACTTCTGAAATTTAAGAAAAACTAAGCATTTAAGGAAAACAGAAGCAGGAATAAAATTACCATAATGCATTTTCTATATAAGAGCCACAGTGGCGCAGTGGTTAGAGTGCAGTACTGCAGGCTACTTCTGCTGATCACCGGCTGCCAGCAGTTTAGCAGTTCAAATCTCACCTGGCTCAAGGTTGATTCAGCCTTCCATCCTTCCAAGGTGGGTCAAATGGGGACCCTAATTGTTGGGGGCAATAGACTGACTCTGTAAAACTGCTTAGAGCTATAAAGCACTGTGAAGCGGTATGTAAGTCTAAGTGCTATTGCTATTGCTATTTTCTAATAGAGTCAGGTAGGACAGTAATGGATTAAGTTAACCTTTCAGTGATATAGCAAAGACCTACATACCTATCATGATATTTCCTTTTGGGACAAGCAGTGTTATGCTGAATGCACAGAAGAAGCGAGAAATAATAAAGAAATGAAAGCCATTGAATTAGCAAAGAAAACATAACTGAAAGTAATTTATATTACTCACATTCATAGTAACCCCATATCTTTCTATGTTTACAAAGCAAGATGGTTTCCATCATGTCCATATCCAACATAGTCATCTTTTTTTCTTGACACATGTCAATTTTGAGGATCCCATCCTATCATGACCTTTCTCAGCTTTTCCTTTACTCTTGATCTAGCTGTTTTTCTGTCATAATTTATTTTATAGTTTGATTCAATTATTTTATATGAACAAACCACCTTAGTGTACTTAACAGAATAACAGAGTTGGAAGGGACCCTGGAGGTCTTCTAG